AATAAATAAATAAATAAGTAAAGTCAGGCTATAAGGAAGCACTTCCCTAGATAAAGTCACATCAAAGGCTTATTTTACCTACTGCAGGTGTGTATATCTTTGTAAGCTGCCTTTGTAAGTTGTTTTTAGAACAAGGTAGGGTGTGAGTAATAATCCCAAATAAATTACAGTGCCTGGACAGCTTACTTGAGTGGTTAGAGCAGGGTCAGAGAGTAAATATTTTAGGCTTTTCGGGCCCTAAGGTCCCAGCTGCCAAGTAGTCAACTAACTGTGCTGCTGTAGCACAAAACAGCATCACTGTGTCTAAAATAAAACTTTACTTACACAACAGGTGGCAGGCCATAGTTTACTGACCCCTGGATTGGAGAACAATCTCAAAGACTGCACATCAATCTCAAGGTAGTCAGAAACTCAGAATGACAGAGAGGGAAAGGTACAACCCATCCCTCTCAGCCCTGCCAGTTAGATCTAAGGAGGCCTGTGCCTGCTCCCAATGTAAGGGTGGCTTCTGGCCACCCTGCTCTGTACAGCAGTTGTGTGCATGGAGCTAGCCAGCTCATTTGCCATGAGGGATGTTCCCTCCCTCTAATGAAGGAACTCTCCCTGGATGTATCAAAAGCCAGTGCAGGAGTTAGGGGCTTAAGCAGCAGCTACAGCTGACACTGCTGCAGTGCAAAGGACCAACTCTAGGAGGCAGTATTCCTCCACTGAGGCTGCAACACAGTAATGTCACATAGGCCTGGCTTACTTACAGAGCACACGATTTCTACAGATCCCATGGTTAAAGCCAGAACTAGAAATCTGACATGCCCGCATTTGCAAAGACAAATCACCAGGAAGCCACCAGGGCAGTCCTGGGAACCAACATGCTTCAGCCTTTCCCCCTGGTAAGGAGGAGGTACTGAGATTACAAGTGGAGAGTCTGCTACCCAGAGGGTTCACTTTGGCCCACTTTAAGTTAAAAAAGGGAAACTAAACCATACAGTTTTCAAAAAAAGAAAAATGCTAACAAGGGGCTTCCTCTGCCACCTACCATGTGCATCATCATTTGGACAGCAATTTCAGAATACTGGTTGATATAGCTCTTGCACTGTGGAGAGAGAAACAGATTGTTAGTTAAACTAATTACTGCAACAGTGCACCAGGAAAAAAAAAAAAACAGCATTTCCAGCAGTGTCAACTAGTGACTATCAAGCAAGTTTCCAGAGTAGAATTGTGTAAATGTCTGCTCTGGGTAATAAGATAAAAATGGCAACTTGTTTAATTCTATAATTTACAAGAAATGCACGCAAAAGATATTTTGAAAATGTTTACCAAGGGGCCTTAGAGAGAGTCCATGCTCCTATTTCCTTTATTTTGTGGCCCAAACTTGCCCCGAGGTCACAGAGCAATTACTCAGTGGCAATTTAGAGAGAATGCAGCTAAATGATATAGTGCTTAGGAATTGGAGATTACTTTTCAAATTCATTTACACATTCTCAGGATTATAAAGTTTAAATCCAGTTGAGTCGGTCAGCGCGGTGGGTCACGCCTGTAATCCTAGCACTCTGGGAGGCCGAGGCGGGCGGATTGTTTGAGCTCAGGAGTTCGAGACCAGCCTGAGCAAGAGTGAGACCCCCGTCTCTACTAAAAAAAAATAGAAAGAAATTATCTGGATAACTAAAAATATATAGAAAAAATTAGCCGGGCATGGTGGCTCATGCCTGTAGTCCCAGCTACTCGGGAGGCTGAGGCAGGAGGATCGCTTGAGTCCAGGAGTTTGAGGTTGCTGTGAGCTAGGCTAATGCCACGGCACTCACTCTAGCCAGGGCAACAGAGTGAGACTCTGTCTCAAAAAATAAATAAATAAATAAATCCAGTAGAGTCAAGTTGCAATGATTTTCAACTGCGTATTTTCACACAAATCTAGACATTTCCAGTATACCCTCATAGAACAGTTGGTCACAATTGGTATGCCATCACCATATTACCAAGAGTAATGTGACAGCCCTCTGGGAGGGCTTAACTGAGAAACCAATTAAAATAGCAATATGCAAAGATATTAAAAATGACATTACAAGATTCCCAGGCTTTCAAGATAAATGAATGTGAACCCAATTACCATTCTGAAAGAGACTAAGTTATCGGGAAGAAACCCTCCCCTCCCAGAGCCAGCTGTTTCCACCCAGAAAGGCCGCTCTGTATCCCTGAGCACGGAGTTACTACAACTGGCCTCCCCAAATGCCAGCTAGCAGGTTTTTTTCAGTTGTCAGGTACCAAAACCAGCATTTTTGTTTTACACATCCACCTCATGAGTGTGGCTAATAAATGTTGGAAGAGGGCCCAAGAAATGAAACCACCCAAGGGGCCAACAAAATGAGTTTCTGAGCCCACAGGACTAAGGGAGGCTTCCAGGTGAATAGCCTGCAAGCCAGCGTGCATGGCTTCCACGGCCGACCCCATCTGCCGTGCAAACACACTTAGAATTATGAGCCTCACATACAAACAACAGCCATGCTTTCAAAAACAGGGTTATGAGGCTAATACATATAGTGACTGGGAGAGGAAAAAAAAAAATTCACAAAAGTGGTCTCCTTCCACTCGTTTGTCCCTGGAGTTTTGTTACATATCCAGATTCAATTAACCAAAGTATATTTAAGTCCCCACTACCTATTCCAGTTACTTTCTGGGGAAAAAGAAGAGTGTTAGTTGAACAACCTCTTCCTCACAGCCATTAGCTTGGAACTTAAAATGGTACCACAGGAAATAACACGTTACATTTTCTTGGTTCCCTCACTCCGTCTCTGTAGCCTAGCTCCCTGCCTCAGACCGTCCTCTGATACGCCAGGAGACTGGGCTCACCATGTCGGCTATGCCAGGCCCCAGGCGGTCACACTGCTCCTTGGCGTGCTCCACCAAGGCCTCAACGAAGGTGGAGTTGGTCCTTACAGCATTCTGGATGTCGGTCACCATCTGAATGCAGTCCTGGCAAACATCCCCATCAGCCTACAGAGAAAGGGCAGTTAGGCTGGCCACACTGCAACCAAGAGGATTCAGATTCCTAGAAAAAGGCGGCTCCCACTCACAGCCACAGCACCGGGAGACTCGCTGCAGTTCCTAACGTGCTTTACAGGCTCCAACGTTATTGACAGGCTTAACATCAACTGGGTGTTATCACAGTAATAGTACAATATAAAAGGGGGGAAATCTTTGCATATTTTAAATATTGTATTCTTTAGAAACTCTGTGGTACAACCATTTGAAGGCCAGCTCGTGCCACTGCAAAGTCAAACGAAGGGACAGCCCCTCATTTAAGAACCATGCGCACACACACCACCCCTTTCCTATCTCACTTCCAATGCAACCAAAAATTGGGTGCTCAGTGGCGGGGCCCGCTGCTTTACCTTTGGCTGGGGCTTGCTGCGGGGGCCATCCTGAGGGTACAGGAGGAGAGGGATGTTGGCCATGAAGGGAGCCACCACCTCAGTCACGTCCAGTTCCGGGATCTTATTGGACTCGAGCTGCTTCTGGTGATTCAGCTCTGCCAAGTGCTTCTGGAGAGACTCGCAGAGGTTGAGAGCGGAGCACACCTCCCCAGGACGGCTCTGGCAGGAAAGAAGCCTGGCTGAAAATCCTCTCCCAGAGGAGAACAAAACAGGCCACCTGGTGCCTCTGAATTAGTCCCTCTCCTTAAATCCCTTAAAAAGAAACAAACATAAAACTGGCCAGGCACAGTGGCGCATGCCTGTAATCCTGGCACTTTGGGAAGCTGAGGAGGGAGGATCGCTTGAGCCCAAGAGTTTGAAACCAGCTGGGACAACATATTGAGACCTCGTCTCTACTAAAAATTTTTAAAAATTAGCTGGCGTGGTGGTGCACACCTGTAGTATCAGCTACTCAGGAGGCTAAGATAGGAGGATCGCTTGAGCCCAGGAGTTCAAGGCTGCAGTGAGCTGTGACTAAGCCACTGCACTCCAGCCTGGGCAACAGAGCAAGACCCTGTAAAGAAAGGAAGAAAAAAAAGAAAGAAGAAAGAAAAGAAAGAAAAAGGAAGGAAAGCAGGAAGGAAGGGAGGGAGGAAGAAGCAAGGAAGGAAAAGAAAGAAAGAGAGAAAGGAAAGGAAGAAAGACCAGAAAAGACAGAAACATAAAACTTGGTTGTTCATGGTCAAACTGCTCAATATACCTGAGAATATCAAAATTATAATTCAAGTGCCCAACCACACACCAGCCTCTGAGCTTCCCAAATTGTCCTGTTAAGCTTCCTAAATGCTCTCTCTGCTATCAGCTCTTCTTTAAAGGAGTATGAGCTTTTGGCTGGAGGGAGAGGGGCAGCAATTCAGAGCCACTTCCCCCAAACGAGCTAACACAATCTACTAGTTATGAATACCTTCCATATATGCTGGCAGCTCCCAAGTTTTTACCCCTTATCTTGACTCGCACACACATGCCTACCTCACAGACATCTCAAACTGACCCGATTCTACCCCACCCCACCTGCTCCTCCTCCATCTCCATTTTAGCAGATAACTCCACCACCATCTTCCCAGAAGCCTGGAAGGCATTCCTAACTCTTCCCTCTCCTGTACATCTCCAGCACAAGCAAGTCCAGTCCATTTATCCTCCAAAACAGAATGTGAATGTGCCACCTCCTCCATCCCTAACACATCTCACTCACAGGCAATGACCTCCTGAGGGGCCCGCCAGCTTCTGCTCTTGCAGCTCCTCCCCATCAATGGGACCTGGACCAAACCCTTAGAAAAATGTGCCTATGGCCATGACACTCCTCTCCTTGAAAAGCTCCAAGGGCTTCCTGCTGCACTTGCAATCCTTAACCATGGCCTGGAGTGCCTTGCATGACGGAGACCCCTGCCTTCCTCACTAAAACCTCCCGCCTGCCCCCTGGCCCTTTTCAGCTTCTCAAACACCTCTCCTTTTTCAAGGCCATTCTAGATTCCACAAAGCTACCTCTTTATTTGTTGCTGAAAACCCAGTCTCTGGCCCATGGTTTGTGCAAAATTTATACTTGTTGAATAAAAGATGAGCATCCTTGTAGCTGAGCCCCCAAGGACATTCCCTGAATTACCCTTAACTATAAATTCGTGGAAACTGATTCAGAAAAGTGCAATTATCTGCTTGTTCAAAGGGTAATTTATAAAGATCTGACATGAGCTATCCAACTGGCGTCTATAAATGTTATGGTGGTTTACATTCCTTCCGCAACCCTCCCAGTCCCCATGTGCCACATCCCCACCAACCCCAACAAGTTAGAAGTAGAGTGACCTCTGTACCAAAGCTACTTTGGATGTCAAAACTGTAGTGAAGCACCGCTGAGGAATCCCAAGCTATGAACCGACTTTCCATTTTAATCACTCTACTCTGGCTGGTACCCCTCCCGGGCCCCAGAAGCAGCTTGAAGGAAGAGCCCATTCTCCATCACTTACCATCTCTCCTTTAATCATGTCCAGGATGACAGGGAGGTAGGAGTCGACTATCTCCTTGCACAAGGCAGTCGCGTTCTGGCTGGGAAGCCAGTCACAGGTCTTCTCCAAGTACACGAGGATCTCCTCCTACGAGAGGACACGAGGCAAGGGTCAGAATCGGGACGGCCTTCCTCCCTGCAAACAGGCTGAAGGCAGAGGCCCTCTATGACTCCAGAAAGGGCAAGTCTAGAAACAGCCAGCCTTCAGGGAAAAGGACAAGTCTAGAAACAGCCAGCCTTCAGGGAAAAGGACCCAGTAAAGGGCCAGTGGTTGTCCATGGCTCCATCGGATCAATCAGGCAAAAGCAGATAAGAAAGTTCAAAACGAAGATCCTTTGACCTGCAGTCCCACAGGCACAGGAGATTCTGAAAAGAGACAGCCAAACTGGACCCAGACATTAGTGGCATGCAATACAAAATCCCAGTTAACTTTGGGCATTTCATATTAAGTCCAGGGGTCAGCAACGCAGGCAGGCCCTTCAGCCTATTTTTGTACAGCCCAGAGCTAAGAATGGTTTTTACATTTTCAACACATTTTTTAAAAAGAGACTATGTGACAGAGACAGTATGTGGCCTGTAAGGCCTAAAATATTTTCTCCTTGGCCCTTTACAGAAGACATTTGTCACCCCCAGGCCTAGACCATTCCCCTCTTTAGAGCCCCAGAGCCCCAGCCCTCCTAAGGAACTGGTGCCCATGCCAATAGCTCACACACCGTGCCCACTCGCAGCCGCTCACCTCGGTGGCATTGTCCTTCAGCATGTCGCCAGCTGCGGTGATAACATCTTTGCATATATCGCATGGAAGGGATTTCTAAGAAGAAAGAACATGAGAGGAGAGAGATCTGTATTTGTAGGACACAATTCACATCCCGCACAGCTGAAAACCCCTGTGGCCTTTATCCTGTTCTGTCTAACCACGGATACAACCGAGACCACGTCCTGGCTCCCCACCCTACATGAGAAGCACTGGGACACCACAGGGAAGGAAGAAGTGTGATTTATTAGAACACTATGCCTTACTCGATACAAAACCTTGTCATGTACCCGCTTCCCCTTAGCACCCTACTCAATGTACATGGCACAGACCGATTCCATATGAATGCTTGCAACAACTCTGAGGAAACCGAGGCTCAGGTGAAATCAGAGTCAGCAATACCACAGTGTAAGAGGTGGGTGGGGCAGGGAAACACATTCTGCACATTCCCGCTGGAACTGGCTTTACCTGTGCTTTCTCTGCCTTCTACCTCCCAAGCAAGTTAAGAACTTCCGCCAATCTTCTGGTAAGCCTAGGCCTCGGTGCCCCACCTAGCCCAGAGGCCATGGAAGTTCTAGTGGAAGAATGCACGAACCCCACCTTGGTGTCAACGGACTTTCAACCCTTTCAACCCGTGGCGAAAGAACTACCATATGTGGATAAGAATAAGGACACCTGTACACTTAGGTGCATTTAGAGAAACTAATTGGAATCTTCAGACCTAGTCAGGCTAATGCAGTTGTACTTTGGTATCTGAGAGGGATACCACTTCCTGGAGCTCACCCACCCCCGTCCCAGGGCATACCAAAATCCCAGGATGCTCAAGTCCCCTGATAAGCCCTCGCATCCGTGGATGCAGAGGGCCGACTGCACTATGCATGGGGCCATACCAACAGAGAGCCAGGCCATCAGACCATCCAATCAAGAAAGGTTTAAAGTTCTTACTTAACACACATTAATTAAACTCGGAAAAAGGAAGCAGTATTAAAAACAAGATTGAAGATGAAGACAAATTAGTAACCAATTCTGAAAGCAGTTTTGGCCAAAGAAGGCAGTTCCAATGAATAACTCAGAAACTATTTTGAAAAGAGCAGTGTTTTTTATTAATAAGTAAGCTTTCTTCTCTAACTGAAGGAGCACTACTGGGCACTGACAAGCTTTAGAACTCAGACTCCACTCAGTCACACACGGCCTGTACCATGGGATGGCCTGCACACCCCAGAGTGAGCCAGGAGCAACACCTTCTGCATTCTGCTGGCGTAGTCAGCAAAGTGTGGTCTCCTGACAGGGTTCAGGACTCGTGAGAAATGCACACGAGGCTTGTCATCTTAGACCATGCCCCACACTGATGTGCTATATTTAACGTCATTTAGATGAACGATCAGCGGTACCTTTCCCAGTGTGGTTACAGCTAGAAATAAAATTTTAAATAGCTACTAAGCTCCAGCATCTCTATCAGTGGTTTGCCGAGTGGGGTGAGGAGAGAACAAAATATCGAATGGAGAAAGTGGCATGCACCTTTTGACTGAGTGACCAGGAATGGAGCCACAGCTGTGTGCCCAGTGCTGGGAATGGGCATTGCAAACCTGCTGGCCCCTAATCTGGGGTGGGACGTGGGGTCTGCACAGAGGCCCGGAAGGCTGTGTGCAGCACAGGGTAGCAGGCATGTTAGACCTTGTCCTATCTGCCACCAAGAGACAGGGCAGCCTCAGGGAAATTAAACCCAATGGCTCTGAGCCTCCATTTCCTCTGTGGTAAAACAGGTACACCCATCAGCAGGTCCTGCCTCCCACACAGGTCACGATGATGAACACACACAAAACCAGGCAAGAGACAGTGCTCTGTCAATTCAGCAGTGAGTTACAGACGCTAAAGGGGACCTTGAGAAGTGCCGGGCTAGGACTAGAGGACGGGCAGGCACTCACCACCGTCGGCTTGCTCCAGACCGTCTGCAGGCAGTGCCTCACCGCCCCACAGTCGGCTGCCGTCTTCACGTTCTGGCACCACACTGCCGAGCCTCTGGTGCATTCTTTCAGGCCAAGGACGGGGCCCGCTAGAGCTGAAAAGAAAACCAACATGAAGAGGTGGCCTGTTTACCAGCAAACCAGGTCCACCTCACTTATTTCCCCAAGGCCAAGAGCTAGCCCTGGCCTGTGAGGTGGACGCCCTCGCTTGGCCCCTCACCAGCCACATGAAACCCCAATCACAAAGCCACACTGCTGTGCTGATCCAGAGCTGGGTTGTCACAGTCACAGAACTGGAAAGGACTCATTTATCTGGTTCATTTTTATCCTCTCCAACTACCTTTGTTTTTTTTTTTATTTGTTTGTTTGTTTGAGACAGGGTTTCACTCTGTCACTCAGGCTGGAGTGCAGTGGTGTGATCATAGCTCACTGCAGCCTCGAACTCCTGACCTCAAGTGATCCTCCTGCCTCAGCCTCCCAAAGTGCTGGGACTACAAGTGTGAGCCATCGCACCTGGCTGTAACTATTTTTAAACAGTATTAGTGAGTGTCTGGCCTTAAATCTTTATAACCTTAAAAAGTTTCCATAAATAATGAAAGAAATCACAGGAGAAAAGACTAATAGATTTAAATAAAGGGAAAATTTTAACTTCTGTAGGATGAAGGTTTTTTAAGAACCTATAACAAAAACACCAAGATTCATATCCTTATTATATAAAACTGTGATACTTAAAAGTTGTACAAGTAGATCACTTTTATAAATCTAACTCTACTGTGTGAGTTTGCATATAAACAAGTTTCTAGTAGAAAATAAGTCCGCATAAGCCACTTTGATGCCACAAAGTGAACGTGTCCACTCAAAACCAGGTGCAGGTGTTTCATCTACCATGGTAATCAGGAAATGACTTTGGGAGAGCCCCATTCACAAATAGGATCAGGAAAAAACACACAAAAGGTTCAACATCATCTGAGACCAAAGAAATGCCAGGTTAAAGCAAGGTGCCATATTTTGAAAGTTAAACTATCCATGGAGGAGAGCCAGGTGTGGCATCACCATGTGCCTGTGGTCCCAGCCACTCGGGAGGCTGAGGCAGGAGGATTGGTTGAGCCCAGGAGTCTGAGGTTGCAGTGAGCTATGATGATGCCATTGTACTGTACCCAGGGTAACAGAGGGAGACTGTCTCAAAAAAAAAAAAAAAAAAAACTAGTCTGGGCAACATAACGAGACCCCCATCTCTATTTTTAAAAAAATTAGCTAAGGGAGGAAAAAGAAACTTGAAACTTGTCATGGAATAGTGACAAGTTTGCAATAAGAGATTCATTCATTCGTCTAGGGCTGATAACAGTGTGTTGACAATTACTTCTCAAATTAATGTATTTCAAGGGCTGAAAAAAAATTCCTCCTCAAAAAGCAAATCCACATCTAGAAAAACATTAAGGAAGCACAGCAATTTAACAGGTAAAATACGATATGTATAAATACATTTATTGAATGTAATTTACAATACTAAAAACACGTAGGTATGACCTGAATGGCCAAAAATAGAAAAAAACTAATATTTTACTAAAATATTATGTACTGTATACTTATAAAGATGTATAGGAAACAGAAAAAAAATTCAAGGATATGAAATTATGCAGGAGTTGTATAAAGATCAGAAAAGAACAAAGCAGGATGGTTGGCTGAATTATTATTTTTTAAATTCCTAATAATATGTTGTGTGTGTAGAATTTTTAAAAAATATTTTATAAACTGCCTTGAGAGTACCTATGTTTCTTAAAACAGGTCTACAGTATTCTTGGTTTTAGAACCAAAAAATGGAGAAAAAGCCCTCAGATTCACATCTCACCTGTAACCCCACTATTCAGCTAGGAAACAACCTATTACATTGGACTATACATAGAGGATGAGAGCACGGGGTCAAACTCCAGCAGGTATCACAGGAGAGGTGAACCAACTTCCGTCGTAAACAGGAGGCGTGTGGCCCAAGTCTGAGGAGAAAACCCGAGAGCCACCTGAGAAATACGTTTTCAGGAGTCATGTTGTATGCTGGTTCTCCTTGTAAGCCAAATGAGAGGGCACAGGAATTCTATACAAGTGTAACACGCACATAGTAAACACACATGTAGATAGCTAGGTGTTCTTCCTCCAGGAAAGGGAAAGGAATGAAATGTGTCATTCCTACTTTCACAAGCTATTCACGCAAAGACTGAGTCCCCCCAAAGCTCAAGCGAGATCACCCTTTAGATACCAACGAATGAATCATGGGCATCGGCAGACAAGAGCCAAGACAGAGGGTTCACCAAGCAGGGGCAAGTGACCTCAATTCTCCATTCTTACAAATCCTCAGTCAAGTATAACTTCGATACAGCTACTTTCTCCAACTTTCTCAGCCAGGAACTAGCTACAGTTGACCAAAACCTATCAGGTTTCTGGGAACACAACTCAGTACCACAGGCCCATAAAGGAGAATACTTCGTAGGTTGTTTACTCCTTCGTAGGATCTTGAAATAGTCACCGTCTTCAATAATGACTTTATGTTTTGGCTTTTGGCTATCCTGGGCTGAAAATAATCTTAGGCAGTCCCCAGTATCTGAGACCGGTCTAGCTAATACAAAACTAATGTCACCTCCTAATCAATCCCAAAGGTTACTGTTACTCAATGACCTACTGAACGGTAGGCAAGCCTCTCCCGCAGAACTAGAGGTAAAAATGTATGCACAGTGGAGAATCTGTTACACTTATAAAGTCATTGGTCTCTGTTTCGGATCTTGAAGAAAATGTTTTAAAAAGTCATTGGTCCCTGGTTGTCTAGTGGTTAGGGGAAAAAAAAGAAAAAGGTCATCAGGTTCTAGCCTAAAACAGACTCTATGGACACTGAGAAATAAAACTTAAGTTCCAACTCCTAGATATTCAGTTCTCAGCAAAATATCTCCTTCTACCTCCAACCTAAAGCCAAACTTATAAAAGTACATGTTATAAAAATCGTCTGTGGCAGAAAACCGATTTGATTTCCTAGGATGAGCTGACATATGTCAACAGAGAAGCAACTGTGTGTCCTCAGGATCAGTAATGCAAGCCGAAACCCAAGTCTCAGGTGACACTAGTGAGTTACATGCTGCTGAGGCAGAGGTGCTTATTCGGAGAGCTGATTTCCCGAGAGCCAGCCAAAACTTTTGGGATATGGATCACTTTTCCAGAAAACGTATTCACACACAAAATTCTCACACCATTTCAGGAGGTTCTCAGGGACCTCAGCTGTGCATTTAATCACAAAGCTCCAGAGACAAGGCATGGTTGTCAAGGAAGGCATGGTTATCAAATTCCATGACTGGGCCAAGGCTGGTGTGTCAGGTGGGACACCTGAGTGAATAGTCCCTGTCCTTCTTTGACCCCAAGAGTAAGTAATGGTGATGTGATACAATGTGGCGGTGGAAATGGGGAACAAAGCTGGGGTAAAGGGAACAGCTGACGAAGCCTTCAAAACAAAATGGGAACCTGAACCTGTAAGATGGCGAGACACTGGCTAAGTGCAAAGGGGATAGGGGAATTCCAGAACATATCAAAGGAGAAAAATTGTCCTTTGTCTTCTCAGGGATGGAGCAAAGGGAAGTGGCAGGAGCCAAGATGCAAAGGCAGAGAGATCTCAGGTGCACTGGGAAGGGCCTTACCTGCCCCACACATCCCGACGGTTCACCTGCGGCAATATTACAGGAGCCTCTAGGGACTTCTGAGAAGTGACAGGACAAGCAAGCTCATGCTTGTGTCTCAACTCCCCAGGCAGGGGGTGGCAGAGGAACGAACAGGAGGTGCGAGATAGAAATGACAGGACACCTAAATGGAAGGCTAATTCGAAAAAGGCCAAACAAGAAGCAACAGAAGCAAGAGCTGAGAGAGAGGCTAACAGAGGCCAAAAGAAGACAGGAAAATGAAACTAACTGGCTTCAACAGGAAGTCCGTCAGGCCAAAGGGAAAACAAAACAAGAAAGCAAGGGCCAACAGCACAAGGATGGAGGTGGTAGTCAGAAGCCAGCACGAGTGGATGGCAGAGCACAGGGCCAGGGCAGGAACACTTGTGAGCGCAGTGAGCAGCTCAGCGAAGGGCAGGAAAGGGAGGGCATGTGACACCATTCCAGAGAGCTCCCCAGAGGACTGGGAGAAAGAATCTTTCAGAGATAAGCATGGTCATCTTCAAATAGGTGAAGGACACCTTCTACCTTTCATGTGGGAACAGAGCCATTCTGGGTGGTTCCAGACCACAGACCTCAGAACAACGGGTAGAGGTTAAGGGAAGCAGACCACAGCTCAAAGTAAGGAACAGACTTAACACCCACAGTGTGGGTGGCTTCATAAGTGATGAACTCTCCAACAGTGGAAGCAACCAAGCAGAAACAAAACGCTCAACCTATGAGCAATTCTGTGTGAGAGGGATCCTCTGAGTGGTGAGCTGGACTAGAAAGACCTCCAAGGGGCTACAAGTCTTCTCCTTTCAATAATGAAGCAGATGACATTTTCAGTATTTACAAATAACCAATATATGAAAACTACCCAAAACCATTTTCTGGTGAGTTATTTCTCAAAACGTGTTGCCAGCAAAGATTTAATTTCTATTCTCATCCTCCTACGTCCTGTCCCCAAATACCAACTTCCTTCTCTGGGGCAGCATGTTGAACTCTAAGAAAGTTCTTAGAATGTTTTGCCTGAGCCCCTGGAGACTTCTGATTACCTGTGTCATTAAAGACATGAACACCACTCAGAGAAAAATCAAGCACTACACTTCTTAGTTCCAGGCATGAGAACCAGGAAAGACACACTTTTTTTTTTCTTTTTTTCTTTTGAGACTAAGGTTTTGCTACGCTGCCCAGGCTGGCCTCAAATTTCCAGGCTCAAGGATCCTCCCGGCCTCAGCCTCCCAAGTAGCTGGGACTACAGGCACAAGTCACTGCCTCTTGTAGGCCTTTTTTTAAAGACACGGATTTCAATGGTATTTCCTTCGGAAAGAGGTAGGTGCTCTGTTGCCTTTTTATTCTCCAGGCCTAGAAATAAGCTGCTATTATTCTGTCTCTTGTCGTCTGCAATCAAGCCTAAGCCCAAC